GGATCATTCTTCCTTTTTGCAACTTAACCTGAAAATATTTTTGTGGGCACAGACTTTGAAGGCTGAAAGCCCTCCTGAATCACAATGTCAATAGAAAAGGAAGAAGAACAAGGCTTCATTTGTCATTTATGAGCTGGTCAGTAAGATATTTCCAAAGAGGATGAAGTTTCCTGTACTTGAGAAGTGGCTCCTTGCCAAGCCACAATATTCCATAATTGGCAGCAGTCATTTCAAATACATTTATAGCATTGTTGCACTGGGATTAAAGTCTTATTTTTCTTGGAAAGTAGGCATCAAAGAAAGAAGGGCCAGATTTAAGGCCTGTCCCTGGAGACCTCTGAATATCAGCACTACCCACATTGTGCAGTTCTCATAATATGATTACAGACCTGTTGTCAGTTGCAGATAACCAAGAGCAATCATAGAACATAGAACAATGGGGCTGGAAGAGACCTTGGAGGTCTTCTCTTCCAAGCTCTGCCCAGGGCAGGAGACCCTGTACCGTTAGAGACAAATGGCTGTCCAATCTTTTCTCGAAAACCCCATCTGAGCATGAAAAAGTGTTTCACTATCTGAGAAAACTTAATGCTGATATAATCTGTCTTCAAGAAACACATATTAAAAACAAGACAAGAAATATTTAACAAATGAAAGACATGGGGAGGATTTTATATCTGCTGGGCTAAAGAATATTAATTCTTGTGGTGTTATATATAAAATCCCAATTTAAACCTAGGCTACATTGATCAGATGAATATGGAAGATTTGTAATGGTGTAAATTGAATTTAATGGAACAAAATCAATAATGATTGGTTTTTATGTGCCAAATGAGGGAAAAGCAATTTCTTCGAGTATCTTATGGACCAACTCTCGCCTTTTTCATATGAAAGTTGGCTTATGTGGGGGATTAGAGTGGTGTGACTGCACCACTTTGGGATAGAACATCTGTTAAGAGGATCAGACCCCCCCCCAGGATAAATTGCCAAAGACATTCTTTGAAATGATGGACAATGCCAGTAGACTCATGGAGGCATAAAAATGGCTCTGCAAGAGAATATACCTTTTTTTTCAGAAAGGCACAAAACGTTTTCAAGGATTGACATGACATGGATCTCTAAAAATGTAGCAAATAGAGTTTTGAAATTTTGATATCCTACCTAAATCTTTTTCTGACTATAATCCAATTGTTTTGGTACTTAGAAAAAAGAGTTTGAGTTACAGGGCCCAGTGTTCAAGTCTTTCACGATCATTCTGAGTCTTGAGCTTATCTTTTAAAGTGTTGGCTATTCTCCCCCGCTTGGGGTTGCCTTCAAACTTGATGAGTTCCCCTTCCATTCATTCATCTAGATCACTTATGAAGATGTTGAAGAGTACTGAGCTTAAGACAGAACTTTGGGATACTACACTGCATACTTCCTGCCATGTAGATGTAGTTCCATTGAGAACTACCTGCTGAGTGTGGTTGGTCAGTCAGTTGTGAATCCATCTTGTGGTGGTGGTACTGATTATCCCACATTGTTCAGTCTTACCAAGAGGTAGGCTGTAGTCTACTTTGTCAAATGCCACATTGAAGTCTAGTAAAACTATGTCCACGCTGTTTCCCTTATCCACTGATTTAGTCATTTTGTCAAAGAAAGAAATAAGGAATGATCTGTTTTTGACAAACCCAGGGTGGCCTCTGAGCTGGTCAGCTATACTGGACTTAATTCTTACTAACAGAGATGGAATGATAGAGGGAATTGAAGTTGAGGAACTTTGGCAGAGAGTGACCCTGTCACGCTGGAATTCAACACAATGCAGGAACAATTAATTAAACGAAGCCATTGAAGTCAAGGCACAGGAGGGTTTATGCTTGCCACTATACACCAAAATCTAGTCAACTAATGGTCAGTGCTGAATTGGCACTAGATAAGGGTCAATGGGATTTATGGAGGGCTGGAACTGGGTCTCTTGTGGCAATGGGATGATTCCAAACTGATGTCACATTTAACTCCACCTTCCAGCTTTGTCTGTTCTTCTCCTATATCTATATGATACATGGCCAAATGTTTTGTTCTTCATTTCTGGATTTTATTTATATTTTATCCCCGTATTTATTATTTTTTATAAATAAGTCAAAGTCTCCTGGTTTCTAGACCAGCATCTTAACCACTACACCAAACTGGCTCTTTATGACTCCATTTGTTATTCATTTATGAAGCTCTCCACCAATTGTAACTATGACTAACAATATCCAGTGATTTTCATGAGTTTTGATTGCAGCTATGGGCATCTGCAGGGAGGGTTAATAAAAATAAGTGCCAAGATGGTGGCCACAAAGCCCTCTCTTTTTCATATTGGCAGGTGAAATATGTGCATCCTTGACTGCCACTAATTCTAATGTTGCATAAGCCCCATATCACCCTTTACAGCTTTGGAAGATAAAATCAAAACAAGCAGAGAAAACAAAGAAATAGATCAGGGAATTAAATGGTTCTTTTCTATAATCTCCTTGGCATTGATCTTTTAATCTTCTTTAATCTCATTTTGTCTGTTACTTTCAATCAGATGCTGGCAAGACACAAGGAAAAACAACTGTGAAAGAATTATTATGCTTTTCCTTTTGGAAATCAGTTATTATTAGTGTTATTAAGGCTGTTTTTTTAGGATGCAGGCTTTGCTACTGTAAAGCAATTGTATTACAGTGCTGATACTACTGCTGTTTTTAAGCAACTGTTGCTCATGAATACTGTGGGGTCCTTTTGTCTTGCAGACATTTCATTACCAAACTAGGTAATATCATCAATGCTGGAAGTGAATGATATTTGCTCTCTATTTATATACAAGTGGCTTTCCTTATTGCTATTGGTGGGAATCTTTGTAGTCCCAAGGTCTTTGCTGCATACCATTACTGTTTCTGATTCAAAGGATACCAAATACTGGAAATGCCACTCCTTCCTATTTTCTTCAATCTTATCCTGCCTGTCATCAGAACAATGTATGTAAAAGTATATCTGGCAACAGAAATGCAAAGTTTACTCTCTTTCCATTGGCAAAATCCACATAACTGGTGAGCTTCATTTAGTTGTCTTGTTCCCAAAATCTTCTGGCCAAATGTGAGATGAAGAACTATCAAACAATGTTACCAATGCATTAAAAAAACATAAATGTTTCCCCTGCCAGTTGTGTCTGACTCTAGGGGGGTCCCTGTTCATCTCTGATTCACAGCTGAAGAGCTTCTGGGGTCACATGGCCCTCATGAATATATGCAAATAGAAAACAAATATCTAGAATGTGTTTAAGACTGATGTACAGTAGGAATCTGCAATCAGGGAATTTCAACCTTTTTAAAAATCCAGAAAATCTTTACTAGCAGTCAGCATTTAGAACTGTCATAGAATCATAGGTCTGGAAGTGCCTTGGAGGTCTTCTAGTCCAACCCTGTGGCCAAGGCAGGAGACCTCATACCGTTCTGGACAAAGAAATGCCTTGAAAAGCTACAGTGATGGAGCAGCCATAGCTTCTGGGGTCAGGCCATCCCACCCATTAATGGTCCTCACTGTCTGTGGAGATTCTCAATCTTCCAGGTCAGGGCTGGCCCAAAGGTGCTGTTCAAAAGGCCACTGGACTTTCTTGGTTGTTGTTGATTTCGGAATATTTAAGAAAGAGATATTAAATCTGAAGGGTTTTTTAGGTATTAGGGACAAACCAATTGAAAAACAATTTGGGACATTATCACTTTATGTTATGACTGCTGTGAGGATTGTACTTGCTAAGCCCTGTGCTGACTGTGGAAGAATGGATCTTGAAATTGTCTGAATTGCAGAGATCGCAAAACCAACTGCTTTGATCAGACAATGGACTAGACAGGTTTATAAGAGCCTGGAAGCCGTTGGTGGACTTTCTACCTGTTGAGTACAATAATAGATGGATTCTCTCCTCTGGAATATTTGTTTGTTTAATATAGTATTTTTGTCAAATAAGGATGGGAAAGCTTATAACTATTTGTAGATCCTTTACGTAAGAGAAGGAGAACCTAATGGTTTTTTCAATGTTTCAGCATCCAGCCGGGGTGGGCTCTTTTTGTTCCATGTCAGACATGAATGATGGAGAACATACGTGTCCCAGGATAATGTTGTAGGATCCAATTTGGATCAGTCACCAGGACCAGTTTTTGTTTCCTGACCTATCGGACTCATGCTGGACACAGATACGGGCTCTGAGGATGGGCTCCAGCATGAGACTGGAAGCTTGGAAAACAAAACTTCTGGTCCTGATGACGGACCCAGATTGAATCCTGCAATATTAGATATATTCAACATTTAGGTCTCCCCACCTTTTTTTGTACCCATTAAAAAAACACTTTATTTTTCCTTTTTCTTCACTCTTATGTTTGTGTTCATTTTTCTGTTTCTCTGTTTTCATTTTACTCATGTTGACAAATGAAAATAAATATTTTTTTTAAAAAAGGAAAAGTTTTGCTTCAAGAAGCTTCTTCAGTTCTTCACTTGGATGACAAGTGAAAGATTTTCAAGAAAAAAAAAACAAGAAGATCCACCTGCCTTTTGAAAAGCACCTTTGGAATTATATTGCAATATGTGGATGATTTATTGTTAGGGACTCCTTCTGAGACAAAATACTATCTTTTGAATTTTCTGGATGACTGTGAATAAGTTCCTTTAATGCCAGTAGACAATTCATCTGATAGTTTACCTCAGGATTGCATGCAAGTTCTTGATGCGGTTTACTCTAGAAAACCATATTTGAAAGATGAGCTTTTACAAAATACAGAATGAAAATAATTAGTTTATTGATTGAAGCAGCTACATCTTGGAAAGGCAGCATGAAATTTTGGAAGAGGAAGCATTGACTTCGAATACACCAGCTCAAAAGCCAGAATTTGTTGCATTAAATGTGCTTGCAATTGACAAACGGTAAAATGGCCATTTTTTTTTACAGCAAATAAGCTCTTGGTATTGTACATGCCCATGGAACTTTGTGGTGGGAAAAAGGTTTGATTACAGCAAGAGGTAAACAGATTAAATATGGAAAAGAAATATTGCATAATTTAGATTCCATATGAAAGCTAAGAGTGATTTACTAGTAGGATGCAGGCAGATGGGTTTTTGGACTTGAGGGAAGTGAAACCTTCTGGAAGAAGGATCTCCAAAATCAAATCTGAGAGAAGCCAGAGGTTGATTAGTAGGCTATATTCAGATCAACACACTCCCCATTGCTGCAGACCTGAAAGTCAAAGCAAGAGATTATCAGTGGAGTAAGACAGCACCTTCTGAACTAACTGAAACCTCTTTCAGGTTCTATATAGTATAAAAATCAAGGGGAAGTGACTCCTGATCCTTTAAGGGAAGCTTTGGGATTGCTTCATTGTTAGGTCACAACCAGCTCTGCCCTGGTTTTCTCATTTCTCTTTTTCACCTTCCCTATGGAGATGCCTACAAGTTCAGAGAAAGGACTGTCTCTTGACATTCTGTCCAGAAGATACTGCGAGAGAGAAGCACAAGGCTCTGAGAAGGTGAGGCGTTTTGTTCTTGGGAGAAAGAAACAGCCCTGGACATCCACCTCATTTGTTATGGTTGCTATTTGAAGAAAAAACAAAGTAACAACAACCAAAAGAAGCCTAGATGGATACACAGATTAGAGGTAATCTATTACTAACCATTTCATCTCCATTGTTGTTTAGGCATTTCTGGGACACTCAGCAGATCGGCCAGTGC